AGAGAAGACTGATCTGAGATGCAGCAAAAAGGCCCATGATTAATCTGGATGAACTGCAGATATCTACAGCTGAGGTAGGAGACTCTGTCCACTGGACAACAATCAGTTGTATACTGCACAAATCTGGCCTTTTTGGAAGAAAGATGATTTGGCCCTGCTTTTCTTCAGCAGGGAGCGGGAATATGGTTAAAATTGATAGGAATATGGATGGAGCCAAATACAGGATCCTTCTGGAAGAAAAACTTTTGGAATCTGCAAAAGACCGGAGATTGGAAAAAAGATTTATCTTCCAACAAGACAATGATTCAAAACATGAAGCAAAATATACAATGGAGTGGTTCACAAATAAACATATTCCGGTGTTAGAATGACCAAGTCAAAGTCAAGACCTGAATCCAGTCCACTAGATGTCAAAACCTGATAGAGACTGTTATGTTCAAAAATGTAGGTTCGTAAAAGAGGGACTGAGTCCACACAGAAAGGGATTTTCAACAGCTTCTGCAGAAGGAGAAAGAGCTACACCCAACTCACTAACTCTCTCTCGGACCCCCTCCTGCAGAGCCTTTTTATTAACATAACACATGGGGTGGGTTACAAAACAGAGTATTCTTCTGACAGGACAATTGATCAGGTCATAAGACAGAATGCTCCACTGGCTGAATCACAAGACAGAGTGGTCTTCTGATTGAATCATAAGACAGAGTGAAGCATCTCATTTCTTGAATGTTTTTTATGTACAAACATTTATTTTATAATCATCATTGAATAAACCTAACAGAGACATACCACAAGCTATTTGCAGCTTTAACTGCAGCAAAAGGTGACACTACAAAGTGGTAACTGAAGGGAGCTGGATGAATTAGCACAACCAATTTTTCAGTTTATTTGCGGGAAAAGTTGAAAAATACCCAATAAATACCCAATAAATGTTATTGTTGATAATTTTTTTGATCGTTTTTTGCAAGCTGTATGTGTGTGTGTGTGTGTGTGTGTGTGTGTGTGTGTGTGTGTGTGTGTGTGTGTGTGTGTATATGTATATATATATATATATATATATATATATATATATATATATATATATATATATATATATATATATATATAACTGCTCATGCAATGGTGATAAGTTCCTGCGAAACAGTTTCCAATAGAACATTAAATAAAACAAAGCTGCCGGTAAAACTAACCCCTGTCCACCACCTCTTTTTGTTGTATAAAATACTCAGGAAACCCACAATGACAAACAGCCCCTTGTTATTCTGCAGAGGATGACATACAGACAGACTAAACCTGCAAAAATGTGTAGCTTCACTGTGCATCATCTATTTCACTGAGCAAGTAACCTGGGAAGACCCTCATGGAGAAAAGCTGCAAAAAGAAAGATTTATCAAAATTAAAATATATAAGAGTCAGACCCTTGCAGTTGTGTGAGAGGGTAGATCTAAGTTAGATATGTCTTTCTCCCTGAAATCTGAACCTGGTGGCGGGAAAAAACGAAGCCATAGAGAGTCAAGTGAGGTGAAGTTGGAGAAGGGGCAGAGGAGGTTTGCTTTTGGGCTGGAGAGCGAGAAAGATCTGACCTTAAATGCAGTCTTTAATGATTATAGGCTGAAGCGGGGGCACATTGTGGGCAGTTAGGAATCTTCTAGTTGAATTTATGACTGAGCTTCATTTGTGAAACAGAATACAGTTGCTCTCTGTACAAAAGTTCTGCTTTGTGTCAACTCTATCTTTGTGGCTCTTTGTAAAAAAAACAATGATATCCAAATATTTGTACCACAACGACTGTACCACAAAAAATTCCTAGTTGTGAACTTCTTCACTAACAATGGCAATAAATCCGATTCTGATTCTGATATTTTGCATTATACAGTTTAAAGAAAAATCCCTGACCATCTACTACAAGTATTTATTTCAGGATTAAAAGTTCTAATTTCCTTTCTACATTATCATACTGCCCTACCTTAAAGCTAAAAAATGTTAAATGACTCGTAAATGACCTTAATTGCAGACACTATTGTAGAGCCAGCATTTTACAGTAAGAAAATTAAACTGGAAAATTTGAACTGAATTTTGCTTTGAAACAGGTCTTAAACAGAGAGGATGGTGTGTACAGACAGCTCATGATTGTTTTACAGTTTGGAAAAAATCACATATATTGTTATAAATATAGATTCCAGAAAGAATAACAAGAATATACAAAGCCTCAATTAGTGGACATGTATAAATATCCTGAAACAGTAAAGCTGTCAGTGAGAAAAACTTAGAAATCAATGTGCAAAGACACTGTGGATGTTTCTATAATAATAACAAAGTATTGTACCTGCTGATATCCATCAATATTTTTCTTTAAAAAAAAAGGTTAGGAAAACTCATGACTGCTTTTATTTAAACTTTCGGGTAGAGTATCTCCTAGCTGTATTATATTGAATTTGAAGTTGACTGACTGCTCAGTCTGGGTCAAAACTTTCTCTCAGGTGTAAGATTAAAAATGTCTCTAATTCTATTATCAAACATTTAAATAACTGTAGACAATTCTATGGTCTTTTTAGTCTACTGTTTATTCCAAATTAAATGTCTTTGGTTTAAAAATAATTTACTATTAACATTCTGAAAGTGTTTTTTTTTTTTTATTTAATTTTTTGTAATCCTAATTTCAGTGGAGCATTTCACTGCAGATGACTGCAGGACATGGAACACTCAATTGGGACTATTGTGAACCAAAGTGAGTATAATTCAGTTTTCCAGAACTGCTCCAATTAAATAATTGTTAATATATAACAATTAGTTTACAATCATTTAGCTCAAATGTTATCAATTAAAGTTATAAATTAAAGTTAACAAAAAAAAACTTTAAAAAGATTTTAAAAAGGCTTGGCTGTCAACTCTCCCATTTTGGCCAGGAAACTCATGTATTTTACTTATTCTATTCCTGCAGTAGCAGTCTCCCCTAAATTTCACATATAATTATATCATAGAATGATATATATTTTTTAATTGACTTACCTCTCAAAACAGAACTGTTGCTAGCAGCACAGGTCAAAATCTGATCACCTTAGTGTAATTTGCAGTTGGTTGACAAGTATATAATGGATATTGGAGTTTGACTAGAGCTCGACTGGAATAGTCAGAGCAGCTCACAACAGATGTAAAATATCCCTCATTTTCAAATCCAAAACTTGACAGGGTTGACCTGGTTATTATTTTCCTTACAAGCTTTTTCAGTAGTCTCTTAGCTTATGAAGGTTAAAACACACAGATGTGTGTTCATTCTTAAAAAAAAACACTCATTGTAACTGAAATGGATTAGAGGGAAGGATTTTATTCATATTCAGAATCAGTGAAAATAAAGTGCTAAATGTGATGAACATATAAGCATACAAAGACCATATCATCAGAAACCATCTAAGTGATCATAGTTTCCTGCAGCAGGAGTTCTCCAATGAGTAATACCTGTGAATATTGCATGTAAAGTGAATGCATGATATGAGCAAGCAGCCTTTAAGCTTCCACGTGGTTTAACTACAGAAAAGCAAAAGATTTTAAACTCTTGACGGATCTTCAAAATGTACTTACAAATCTGTTTAAGCTGCAAAAATGAACAAGAACAAGTTAAATGTTCATTTCTAGTAAAGTAAGAAAATATATAATTTTAACTTGATCTTCATATAAATCATTGTTTTTGTTTGGTTGAATGAAAAGGAACGTAAAGGATTCGACTTAACTGACTTTAAATATTTCATGTACAATTTAAGCTTCTGGGTTTACCATCTGTGTAACAAAGCAAAACCATCCATCCATCCATTATCTGACACTCTTATCCCAATTGGGGTCGTGAGGGGTGCTGGTGCCTATCTCCAGCAGTCAATGGGCGAGAGGCGGGGTACACCCTGGACAGGTCGCCAGTCCATCACAGAGCAACACAGAGACACACAGGACATACAACCATTAACACACACACTCACACCTAAGGAGAATCTAGAGAAGCCTATTAACCTAACATTCATGTTTTTGGACTGTGGGAGGAAGCCGGAGTACATGGAGAGAACCCACGCATGCTCAGGGAGAACATGCAAACTCCATGCCAGGAATCAAACCCAGAACCTTCTTGCTGCAAGGCACTGAGCAGCCATCAAAGCAAGACCTATTAAATGTATTTTACTGTATTTTTAGTTTGTTTATTCGGTTGTCAGATCAGTGTGGCTGATATAGTGGTAAATAAGTCTGAAATAAGTAATACTTCTTAAAGAAATTCATACAGTTATCACGTATTTACTTTAGGTAGAAGCTTTGGGCTATTTGGACACAAATAATTCTGTGAATAAATATATGATATAGACTTATTGTGGAAGTAAAAACACTAAACTAAATGTAAAGCTGTAAACCCTGTAATTGATTTGGGATTTATTTGGGAAAACCCATGTTTGGATATTTATAGTTGGTGAGCTAGCTTTCTCCATTATTTTTCATTTTACTGTACTGCTTTCTCAATTATATTTTTATTATCTTTTGCCAACGATTTAAAGGAAAACCATAGAAATAGGGATTTAATACAAGTAAAAGTGAATGCATTTTAAGGGAAACCATCCATCTTATTATATTTTAGATTATAAATCTTTTAACCCTAATCAAAACTCAGTTATCTTTTGGATTATGGAAGGAAAAAAATCCTTTTGTTTCATTTCAAAACTTTTTTGAAACAAACTTTTTTTCTTTTTGGCCACATTTGGTTTTAAAACAATAACTAATTTAGATAAATCTATTTATCAAAACTTTTTGTCTCAATACTAACTGTAATAAAATGGCTTTGGTTTGATCTCAGGATAACATTTCAAAACCTTTGATTGTTGTGCGGTTTTATTTTAGACTCCATACAAAAGATGCAACACGTCTCAGAGCTTTCTTTGCATACCGCCATCAAAGTAAAAACCACAGAAATTTTCCATTTAACCAGCCAATCACAAACTGCCTCTCCTTCAATGGAAACTTTTATGTCATCTATTCAACATGTCCAAATCTTGCAAACCCATCTTGTAGCTCCAGCTAAGCATTTGTGATGGATGGATTACAGACAATTCAGACTTTCTTCTTAGGTAACTTTTTAACCTGTGGGATTTTAACAAAACAACAATTTTAATGTCAATCTGGTTTTAAATAATTATTGTTTTTCTTTGCTTTTTTCCCCCCCAGGACTAATATTCTGCACTCATAACTACATATCAGCATCAATGCTGGAGGTGACCGTCCGACCTGGAGAAAATATTACCCTCTACTGTGACTGCAAAGCATTTACCGGAGTATTTATTGTGTGGTTCTTCAAAAACTGTTCCAGAGAAGAACATTCTATTCATGCTGTTCCTTTTTTGGATCAATTGGCAAAAGAAAAGAAATTTCCACGTTTGAAATTTATAAAAAATGACTCTTCACAATCCTATGACCTGCTGGTGATGAATGTCTCTAGTTCAGATCAGGGTCTCTATTACTGTGGAACAGAAAAAGTTCAAGTAGAGAAAGACAAAAATGAAAAGATAATCGCAAAAGACGTTTACACTTATGGGAACATCACAACAAGACTCACTCTCAGTAAGCAACTTTATATATATGTATAAATATATATGATATATCTTTATGATTAAATTTATATGATTTATTTTCATAAATATATATTATAAACATAGGTTCCAAATGTAGTATTGTTATATGCACAGGTTATTTGGCGCCAGTGGTTTGATTTTGAATCAAGTTTAGAAAGAAGAAAATAGTTTTAGAATGAAAATCAATACGCTTATATTTATGAATATATTAACTGTTGTTTGGTTCGGTAAATTCTCCTGAAGTTATAATGAAAAATACTTTTAAATAAAAAGGTTGATTGTATTATTTCAAGATCTTGTATTGTAAATACAAAAAAATGGGATTTAGTTTCTGTACACTTAATTCGCACAACTTTAGTTTTCTCTAGTCTAAGTATATTCACTTATTCACATTTTTTATTATTGTTATTATTTTTTTTTTTTTATTATTAATGGATTTCTTTGATCCATGTGTCCGGGGAGAAAAATCATTTTCAATATTACGGTAATATGTAACCTTAAAGGAAACAATATGAACTATTGAGTATTTAATAAAAGCAACTTTTTGTTTTATCTAGACACCTGTGGACAGTATGACTTTAACAAGACAGTGGAGGACTGCGGGGCGTGCTGGAAGCTTCTCTTCTCCGTTTGCCCGGCTGTTGTTTTTCTCTCTGTGTTCTTCTCCTTCCTTGGGTTTTACCTGCTTTGTCACAAAACAGGTATCAGAATACTGCCAACTTTTAATCCTTTCATGTTGTGCTATGGTGATTATTTATCACTGAATGGATATTTTCACTCTTACAGCTAAAGAAAACCCAGGAGATGGTAAACAACCTAAACAACCGAGACCAATAGATGAAGCACAGGTAAACAACAAAAATACAGACCTTTCTTTTCACTATCTTTTCTTTTTTTTTACTTGCTAAGCCACATGGTTTACTGTGCATCACAGTTATCTGCCCATGAATTATATTTATATTTGTCAATGAGAACTAATAGTTTTTTTTTTTTTTTTCCTTTTTGCCTTGTCCTTCCATTGGGTAAAATTTGTCATGAAATAATGTTGTCATTATTCTGAATTATAAATCTTAGGATGAAAACATTTGTTACGCTGCCTTGGAAATCCACCGACAATCAAAAAGAAAAAAGAAGAAGTTGGTCCAACCGTCAGACTGTAGGACTCACACCATTGTCAAGTATGCCTACAATGAAGATTCACATTCTCTTTGGGGATGTGATCTTAATGAATGATCAATCTGTTCTAGTTTTGTTATTTCCACCACAAAACTGAAAGACAAAAAAAAGCTTAATTTCTTTCTCATAAATGTGCGTAAATGTATGATTCAAAAATGCGTTTATTGTGTAATTTGTTTAATGTTACACTGATTTTGCTTAATCAAACATTTTCTTTATTACCATATATTAATATATTGGTGTATTATGTCAGTTTTTATTTGTTTCTTCAACACAAATATAGAAACTACTTGTTGTTACTTGTTAAACATAAGGTATCTACAAGGCCAAAGCTTCCTTTTCTTTTTACATACCTTGTAATAAATACATATGAATCATGTTGGGTCAATGCATCCCTAAACCATCACACTTCTAGCACCGCAAGGTCTTTAATGGGTCTTTTCCTTTAATGCTGTGTTTATTTTATGCTTTCTATGCCGTCTGTTCAAATAAATTGGTTTCAGACACAGACATGAAACAAGATCTTTTGGTGTCTTGCACTCTGGTTTCTGGGTGAACTTGAAGGTATATTCAAATCATTTTGAGAGCTCTCCCACGGTAAACTCTCCTATTTCAAATTGTTTTCCACCTTTTAGATCTCCCAGCAAACCTGTAACCCTCAATAAGTTTCTTTAAGATCTCAGTTTGCCCTTTTAATCATAGTATTCTGTCTCACTTCTACTCATGAAAACACAAAATTAAATAGCTAACATTCAAAGACCAAGCATCCTTCAAAATGCTTAATATAACTTAACATAATCATCTGCTGTTTAGAAAATCAGCTTAAACCAACCAGGTGTTTGTAAGTACAAAGCTACACGCTTTAGATCAAACTCCCCAAACAGGCAGTTATTGTAAAGCCACAAGATGAAAGAAAGCCCAGAGCCAACGTAACCAGAAGCACAAACATAAGTCATTACTAAAACAATCGTCAGCAACCGATCATACAGTAGTTACTGCTGTCCTCACCTAGGCTGTTTTCTGCCACCAGAATAGGACAGACTACAAAGCCTTACTCTGTTGAACTCTTGATTTATTCCCAAACTCATTTCAGTTAACCCATACAAGTTATGTCTGAAAATATTAAGATTACCCTTTAGAGATATGAATAAAAAATGCTTAAAGGCAAGGCAAGGCAAGACAAATTTATTTGTATAGCACAATTCAGTACAAAGACAATGCAAAGTGCTTTACATGATTAAAATACAGGGAGATAAAAAAATAAATAAAATAAAATAAAAAATGCAGAAACAAAAAAGAATATTAAAAACAGTTGGACTAAAGAAAATATGTTTTAGTTGAACTGTTTAACTAGAACAGTCAAAGGCAATCCTAAACAAATGTGTTTTTAGTCTTGATTTTAAGGATCTCAGGCTTTCCGCACTTTTACAGTTTTCTGGAAGTTTGTTCCAGATAAGTGGAGCATAGGAACTAAATGCTGCTTCTCCATGTTTAGTTTTGGTTCTAGGTATGCAGAGCAGGCTGGAGCCAGAAGACCTGAGTGGTCTGGAGGGTTGATACACTGATAGCAAGTCTGTGACATATTTAGGTGCTAAGCCATTCAGAGATTTATAGACTAACATAAATATTTTAAAGTCTATTCTCTGAGATACAGGGAGCCAGTGTAAGGACTTTAGAACTGGGGTGATGTGCTCTACTTTCTTAGTCTTAGTGAGGACACGGGCCGCAGCGTTCTGGACCAGCTGCAGCTGTCTGATCCACTTTTTAGCATAAAGCATTAACCTGTGAGTTGCCTGAATGGAATATGTGTTAATCATTTTATAGAAAAATTGATCATTTAGGTTACCTCCCAAAGATAATTTATCCTCCAGATGGATGGATTTATGTATAATAAAGAATGTTCTGTTTTCAATGTATCAGTGAAAAAGTCAGTGTGCCACCTAAACACATTAAAAGTCAGCATGCTTGCTGTTTTTACATGCAGACTTTAAGAACTTTAAGTCTAGGAATATTTATGAAATACTTACTGTATTGATGCAAGAAAGTATAAGCACAAATCCTCATGTGTATACAGGCAATTCTAAAGAGTGCAAAACTCCAGCAAAATGTTGTCTTACTGAGAGTCATTACCTCCAAATCAGCTTGCAGCTACTGAATGAGACTACTACGGTTTCCAAGTGGTGCAAACTTCATACAAATATATTAATTCACAGTAAATTCAAAAAGTACTGCAAATACAAAAATGAGACTCACAAATACTAAAATGACTCTAAAATATAAACAGAAAACATATAAAAAGAAAAAATGCTGCAATCACAGAACAGAGTGGGATGCAGGCTGCAAAAGAGCAGAAAATACAAAATCTGCTTATATATAACATGCTAATACACATACGTATATATGCACAGGAAAAATGGAAAGACGGAAAGAAGGAAAAAAAGCTTTATAATGATGTAATCATAGCATGGCTTTTAGAAACTATCAACTTTATTCAAATGAATAATAACAATGAAATGCCCCGCAAATATGCAGTATTTTTGGTGTGGTGATATCAGTGTGATGCAGAGTTTGTGACATGATTTAGAGATTCAATAGTTCAGCAGTTTGATGGCAGTGGGAAAGAAACTATTGCAGAATCTGCTGGGCCTGCATTGAATGCTGCAAAGCCTCTTCCCAGAGAACAGCATGGAGAACAGTCCATGGTGGGGGTGTGAGGGGTCATTGATGATGTTATGGGCTCGGGACATGCAGCGCTGGGATAAAATGTCTTTAATGGAGGAAAGAGGAGCCCTGATGATCCTCTCTACTGTTCTCACCAATCTTCTCACCTTCTTCCAGTCTGAGGCACTGCAGCCTCCACATCACACAGTGAGACAGCTGGTCAGAATGCTCTCTATGGTGCTTCTGTAGAAGGTAGTGAGGATGGGTGGGGGCAGGTGGGCTCTCCACATCCTCCACAGGGAGTACATGCGCTTCTGTGCCTTTTTGACCAGTGAGGTGGTGTTTACAGTCCAGGTGAGGGTGTCTGTGATGTGGACCCCTAGGAATTCCGTGCTGCTGACCACCAGTCGATGATGATCTCCTTCGTCTTCTCATTGTTGAAATATGATTTGAAAAATAAAATGTAACAACAATTTATTTTCTGTTGTTTATATTTACAGTTCAGAGAGGCCAAGGGAGCAGGAACAACAGTCCAGCTCAGTCCACATTCAGAACATTCCATAGAGCAGCATCCTGCAGCATTGCCCAAGCCACCACACCAGATGTGCGACCCCCTAAACTAGTCCTACACTAAGCCCTGTACAATGTTCACACCGCCCTTGATGAAACACAGCCGGTCTGTATTTTGTCTCACCTGTATTGCTGCATCACACTTGTTTCATTGGTGTTTAACTTTGGATGAACTAAGCCATAGCTTTTCGTATTTCTCAATCTTTAAAAAATACTTGAATCTCAATTTTTCATACAACCCATTCACAGTTATCTACAAATAACCGCACAGCATAAGTTCCCTAGCTTTGCAACTGCAACGGGTAATAATGTTTTCTAGATCCGTCATAAGATTTATTGTTAATCTGTTCTAAGCACTGCATGTTTTCTGATAAGTGAGGCAATCAGTTGACCAAAGAAAATATAATTTAAGATTATGTATTGTAACATAATTTCACAAAATAATAATTCCGTTTTCAAGTTTGTTTGTTTTTTAAGGAGCTACAGCATCTTATCAGGAGAAAGGAGAAAGTGCAGTTGTGTGCAAGAACATTAGATGCATTTTTGATACCAATATATTACCATTCTTTTGATGTGTATTTTTTTTTTAGGTCTTGACTAGGAGGAAGAATTATGCTCAGCGAATGTGGTTTATTGCAACATGATATGAAATTAAGAGTGACCCAAATATGCTGTCTAACTGTACAGTAGTCAATCAGATAACTTTTCTAGATCACAGTGGGCTTTCAGATGTATCTTTCAGGTCAAGGTTTTGAAAAGGACAACATATCTGTGATGTGCGCTGAGTCATAAAATGTTATGAATACCAGGAATTACCAGGAAATGTACATCGGGTGTACATAATATACACGTGGACAAAGTTGGTCTCTTTTAATGAAGGAAAACCCCACAATAGTCACAGAAATAACTTGAATAAGACCAAAGCAACATATAAAAAATTATATGAATCGGAAGAAATTAAAATCAGACATTGCTTTTCAAACATTCTTTAACAGAATAATTTTAAAGCTACAGTGTGTAATAATTACAGGGATATACAGTCAGAAATGTAATATATTATACATAACTAAGTTATTTATCATCATCTACGAGCTCAGCCTCTTAACCTTAATATTTGCGTTGCCTTAGAATTTGTTATTTATAATTACATAGGAGCGGGTCTCGCAGACATGGAGGCAGACATCTTTGCACTACGGCAGCGCAGAGCCAACAAACTAGCGATTGCAAGATCGCCCATTACAATAACATGCTGCGTGATGATGCTGTTTCTCTCCACTATACTTATTCAGCAACGTCCCTGACGTTTCACAGGTAATGATTCAGTAATTCTCTGTAAAATAATTTTCTGGATATATACCTCGGTTACTTCTCTCCGGCTCCTTTGGAGATCTTCAAGCCTTTCCTCCTCTGCTCTAGTCACCCCGCTGGCACCTCTCCCTCGCCTGGCCCTGGCTGCACGCCCACCCCGGCCTCTTTGCCCTCTTCCTCGCCCTCTTCCTCTCCCTCTTCCTCGCCTTGTAACCCCCGTGCCACAAACAAGACTTGGACTCTGTAAACGGGGAATATATATTCTTCCAGCGAACACAATCTCGCTGTTAAACTAATGACTACAATTACTTCGTCTGTTTATATCACCATGCAAAGCAGCTCACCAAAACGTCACAACGATGTAGAAAAAATAACGGGTATATTTATTATCTTAAGTCTACATGAAATCTATAGCCTACACAGACTAATGAAATACTATCTGTAAAATTATCTATGTAAACAAACCTCATCACTTGAGAAGGTAGGTGATGCGGACGTCGTGGAAGACATTTTGTCCCATAATGCTCGCCGTACTGTTGGGGGGGAGAAGAGGTGGGGGGGAGATGTTCATGTTGCTGCGGTCTGCAGTCTGGGCGTTAGATGTCGCTGAAAATTACACACTGTAGCTTTAAAAGGCTGAAAATAAAGTGAGCAAAGGGACATTTTAAATCAAACTGTGTCAACAATGACTATTGTCTACAATCTTGTAATCAGTCAATATGCTTATATATAGGGCTATAGGTAGGAACTGTGCCTTTTGCTGACATGGTTTGTACCACACTCAATATGGACCAGGGGAAGTAAAGGAAATAATTATCTAATCTTATGGACAAGCATGTTAAAAGTAATGCCTATGAGACCATCTGCATATTATAGGAAAAATGATGACAAATCAAAGAGACGGAACATACAATTTGTAACAAAGTGCCCAGAAAAACTTCGAAAGAGAGTAAAGGAGAACTTCAAGCT